ATCTTGTGGGGTTCAAATGCAAAATCGAGTTTAATTGGCGTTCTTAGGTTCCACATCAGTCTTGTTGTGGGTTTCGTAGTCACCATTGCTACGGGGTTCGCATCAGTTTTGATCAAACACTGTATAGAAGTATGATATGTAGTCTGCTTTACCTCCTGCTAGTAGACCTAACATTAGTCTGTGCTAGTTTTCAGGCTGATCCTAAGGAATCACATCTAAGCGATGTGCGACGTATTATTCAATATGTCAATGGTACTGTTGATTATGGGTTCATGTACTCTAAGGACTCTAACCTTGATCTTGCTGGTTATTCCGATGTTGATTGGGTTGGTAATGCCGATGATAAGAAGAGTACTTCTGGTGGTTGTTTTTATATTGGTGCTAATATCGTTGCTTGGATGAGTAAGAAACAAAATTTTATCTCATTGTCCACAGCTGAGGCCGAGTACATTGTGGTAGGAAGCTGATACACTCAACTGCTTTGGATGAAGCAGATGTTGAGTGATTATGGGATTGAACAGGGTACTATGACTGTGTTTTGTGATAACACCAATGCTATTAATATTTCTAAAAATCATGTTCAATACTTTTGAACTAAACATATTGACATCAGACATCATTTTATTCGAGAGCTTGTGGAAACTCAAATTATGAATCTTAAACATATTTCTATTGAGAACCAATTAGCTGATTTGTTTACTAAACCGTTGAATGGTCTTCATTTTGAATCTCTTTGAACAACTATTGATATTTGTGTACCTCATTGACCGAGTCTATTTAATGCATGATCGTATTCTACAGTTGTATGACATTTTGTTTTGCATGCATCATATTTATTTACTTATTCTCATACATTTTATTTTATGTTTTGTGTGTTTGGTGCATTCAAGTTTTTATTCGAAAAACAAACAAAATCATTTTCTTTTATTGCTTTCGTTTAAAGTTTTGCTTAAAAAAAAATTGGTTTTACAGCATAACATACAATACCCTTAGTTTTGTTGGTTCTAATCAAGAGTGAGTTTATCTGGTGAGCTGTAATATAATTTTCATTGCTAGCTTAGAATGCTTAGAAGTATTTAATATTGGTCTCTTTATATACCATCTGCGCTGTACACACTATGAACTTGAAAGTAGGACTCTACCGCATGTGTGAGATTTAGGATGACAGTCACATGTTAGTAGGATGACTTTGAACATGAATTGATCAATTTACTTAGACCTAAACTCAAATTTATCCCTGCATTACTATATCAACACATAATGCAAAATTTACATTAAAGGAGCTCAATTTCTTATGCTATTTTTCGAAACCTACTTAATTTGAGTAATTAAGCCCGCGAGGTTTCTCATAACATGGTGCATGTGGTCATCCGACTTGGGTTAATAAGCCTAAAACTCGTTACATGGGTCATGTTAGTCGCTTATTGGAAAGGAGTCTGCACTTCTGATAAATAGCAACATGTTTGTGCTGTTAGTCAGAGGAAGAAAATCAATTCTGCATTTAAAATGTGCTTTAATATGTAGGTTCTAATGCACTATACGGTTTGACTTTCATAAGTAGATGAATATACTTATTAGCAGTAATGTTTAGCATATCCTTTCTCACAAATTTAATATTTGGAGTCCTACTGTCGAAGGATTAGTGACATTTCACACATATGAGTTACTTATATTATCTACCCCATGGGTGTTTTTAAGTTGGAATTATGGAAAACTTTACTATTCACTGTATATGCTTGTGATTGTTTATACCTCCATTCTTGAGATGTTATGTGCATTTGCTTTGTCCCTTGTCATTTTGTGACAAAAAGGAAGAGAAAATTTTGAAATTTTGAGTTTGCAGTAAGGGGGAGCACATGCATATTTGTTTGAATTCAGTTTCGCTAAATTAAGTCACATGCAAATTAGTTTGAATTCACTTTCGTTAAATGAAGTTTTTGATATTTTTATAGTGTCAATGTTTCTTTTGGTATGTTGGGTTGCTTTGATACTGTGTTTTAGTTTAGCTTATGATTTACAATTGAAAAATATGTTATTTGAGTTACAATTGCTTAAATG